AAATAGACCGCCGGCTTTGACCGAACCTTTGGGTGCCCTTCAGAAACCATGGCGAAGAAACCAGAAGCGAAATCCCCAGAGAAAAGCCGTGGAAAGCTTCGAGCACCAATGCTTTCTGGCGGAAAACAAAAAACAACAACCAGGCAGAATACCTCGCTTCGAGATTACTTCCAGCGGATTGGCCGGAATAAAACAGGTGCACTTTTTCTGTGACACTAAAATGGTCCAGACCCCAAAAGCTTAGAGTACATACATGAACTCACGTGAGAATACAGGGATTCGCCCGAGTGCACTATACCACAAGGCTAAGACCAGGAGTAAAGGTCAATAGTTTTCAAAATGTCGCACTCCTCACTCCATTGGTCTTCGACTCCTATTGAGGCGGCAACACAGAGAAATAATCGTTACCCGGTGCGGTACCCACGTACCCCACGTTCTCATTGTTATGCCTCTGGAGTATCCTCTTGGGGTTGGTTTGCAGGGAATGAAGGGACACAGAGTCAATGCTTGAGGGGTTCACATGGGACAACAACTTCCCAACAGTAGACCACTTAGAACTTTTTGGGTCCGGATTGCAAATGCAGCCCTCAGAGAATAGGAAAATCTGGCCTCACTGCCTGGGCTACTAGACAGTAGACGCGAGAGCTGGGTGGAGACAAAATCAAAGGGACGCCGGGGCCATTGTAGGAAGGACAACGCCGTCCAACCCACGGACCCCTTTACCTACAAGAAGTCAGTCAAACGGCCAACAAAAACAGGAGTAGTGCCGGCCCCAAACGCTTCATCTGCAATCCAGCTGACACACTTTTTGTCTTCCGAAGCAAGCTAAGTGTCAAAACAGGGTTTCTCCTAAGGTCCCTGAAAGGTCAGCAGGGAAAACCGCTTTAAAATAGTTTTCCGTGCTTTGATCTTTCAAAGGCCAAAGGATCAACCCTGAAGCAGCCAAAGGTTCAGATCCCCAACCCCCAATCCAACCACCAATTCAGGGCCACTTTGACTGAAATTGGGGGAAACACAGGCTGCACCAAGCCATGTTTGCTGTGACTCTCATGCCTCTTTGCCTTTGGGACCGAACGGACCTTGACTCAAATAGCCCAAAAAGGAAACCCAGGGTGTGTGTTCTCGTTGCGGCTCGGTATCCTTTGCTTTGGCTGGAAAGGGAAACCGACAGGAACACCGAGGCACTTTGGGGGCACCCATGGCACCCTTTTTTCAACACATGCCCCAAAACCAAACATTAGACTCATTAGACTCGGAGTTAACCCCAACGGTTTGCCAATAGGTTTCGGGGGAAGTCGCACTTCCTGACGACGCGAAGCAAAACTAGGTCCTCCAGTAGAGAGGTTAGAATAAGGGTGCCAACTTTCTTCTGTAGTCGATTTTAGCGATTTTAGTAGGGAACCCTCCCCCAAAAAGAAACGGCAAAAGTTGGCACCTAGCTGGGGGCCTAGAAAAGGTGAACGACGAGAAGCGCCAAGGTTCGAGCCTCGGCTGATGTAGGGCCAGTACCACTCTGAGTCTTCAAAGCGCCACTGCAGAGCCTTGTCGTCGTCGTCCGGGATGGCAATGCCTCTCTCCGGTGCTATGTGGCCATGGGTCAAACCCCGGTTAGCCCCCAGCGAACATCCCTATCCCCAGTAAAATAGGTTCTAAAATAGGTGGTGCACCTACCCCAAAATGGTACCATTGCTGTTGACCCACGGCCATATGTGTTTGTTTTCCATCCGGATCCTGACGGGTTTTGTCTCCAGGCACCCTTTTTTCAGCTTGGTGCAAAAGGGATGTTTTGGCACCCCGCCTTTCGACACTCCCAGGTCCATGAGGGCTCTGGGTTCATGGTAAGCGCAGGCCCGACAGCTGGAAAAGGCCCAACTGGCCGTTCAAACGACGCTCTGGTTGGCAACTTGTGCAGTTCAGCTCCCAATGAAGATACCCTCCAGAAAGAAACATCACGCGCATGGTACTCTGCCAACTTTAGGTATCCCCGAAGTAAAGATCTACACTCTCTGCCCCTAACATGGCACCTGACAGAGGGTCCCTCCAAGAGGAAGTTGATCTTCCAGGTACCCTACAGTTGCTGATGTTAGTGGAAGGGAGGGTACATCATGGTAACCGCCACTTGTTCAGCCCCCCAGCTGACTCGACTCGCGAAAAACCAAGCGGCGGATAAAGGAGTTCTTCTGAAAGCCCATCTTCTTGTAGCACAAAGAGCCAAAATCGCGGTGCGGGAAATAGCCTGACGTCACGTTGGGTGTGGGGGGCCTTTTCTTTTGGTTGGGTTTAAAGGGCGATTAAAACGAAACCACACACTTGTTTAAGGTATCCTATTTTGGAGACAAATCCATGTCTTCTTCCGGGCCTAGCGGGGTGGACACCAGAAACATGCAAATTTCAATTACAAATCATAACCTCTTCTCTGCAACGCTGACAGGGGATATCAGAGCAAGCGTGATGCATTTGCCGGACGAGGCTGCTTCCTGCTGAAATCAAATTGAATCGAAGCAGCAATCATTCCTGATGCTCAACGTGCCACACTGTGCCACCGACCTTGTGGAACATCTACTAGTCACTACTCCTGGCCATGTTCCTTTGAACCCAGAGAACTAGTTCAGCATCAGCGAACCACATCTGCGAAACCTATTTTTTGAAACTGGAAAGATCCGAATGTACCTGCTCGTACGAAGGCAGGGAAGGAGGGAACGACCCCTTATAAGCCATCCTTTGTGGATTCCTGTAAGGGGACCAAAGCCTGGGTTCATTCCTGCATTGCCTACCTATCGCACCAGCCAGTGTAAACAAGATCACCAAAGAGCAAGCCCCAGGCCAGCACAAAATGCATATGAAGCAGCGAACATGAAAGCACACAACACACTACCTGGAGTCTCCATTACCCTTAAAAAAATGGGGTCAGTACCCAAAATAAAGGGGTCATGGACCCATTTCTTAAGGGTCATGGAGACTCCAGGTATGACCACGGCGTGGCTTCGCGAAGTGGCTTCGCCTGTGTCAGTGTTGCCGGGCAACGAGAAAGGCTTCGTGGGGCTTCGCGGCACACAATGTATCGCACAAGTCCCTTTGCGAGTTCCCCCCAAAGCACAAATCCATCATCTGAGAGGAACGCTGCTCAGTCGAGGATAATGGCGGGTTTAGTGTGGTTTCGGGTGTTTAGGGTGCGGGTGTGGGTTTAGGTTGGATTTAGGGTTCAAGGTGCGTTCAAGGTAGGTTGAAGGTGTGTTTAGGGTGGTTAAGGGTAGGTTTAGGGTAGGTTTGGGGTGCGTTTAGGGTGAGGTCAGGGTGGGCTGAAGGTGGGTTTTGGGTTGGTTTAGCGTGGGCTTGGTGGGTAAAGGGGGGTTTTGAGGGTGCTTGCTTGCTTGCTTGCCTAGGGGATTAGGAAAACACCCAATCCAGCGGGGAAAAACAATCTTTAATCATATGGCACCCGTTTGTTTCTCAGAGTCATCATAGGGGTTCATTTGTCCCATTTCGTGCAGGATTGTCTTCATCCATCGCAGCATGAAAGTATCCCTTTGAAACATCTTACACAGCGCATCCGGTGTAAGGCCATGTCAATTTACGTAGAACAAACAACAACAAACACTTGCTCCTCAAGCATCTGGACGTTCTTCGGTCCGTTTCTGCCCTGCAGATGTACATAAAGCCGAAAGGACGAGAGATTCAACCCTCGTGACGAATGGGACCCCCTTTTTTGGGTGCCATGTTGATTCGCAGGGCCCGAATTCGTTGACCACCGACGGAACGCCGTCGACGTCCGACGGAACCCAGCCACGCGATGTTTTGCGCCGAGGCGCAGCCGTGGAAGAGAGGCTCGCCGCTGCCGGAGACCAAAATGCAGCCCATGTAGTAAGGCACCAAATGCAGTGGAGTGTTCTTCCGGCAGTCCTGCGGGAAAGAACGAATCGGAGGGGAGGGGGACCTCCATCCACTTCGGTAGAGGAAGAAGAAGAAGAAGATGAATTGGCTCAGGCTGGGGAAGACGAAGTATGCGATGGGTCGGGTGAAAGGCCAAAGTTGTTCCCCAAACAGACCCACCTGCCCTTCACCTTTCCTCCCCCCACCTTCCACCTTCCCTCCCCCCACTTTCCACCTTCCCTCCCCCCACCCACCTTCCCTTGACCTTCCCCCCACCTTCCCCCGACCTTCCACCTTCCCTTCACCTTCCCCCCACCTTCCACCTTCCCCCCACCTTCCCCCCACCTTTCCACCACCTCGGCCGGCACCTCTTGTGACCAGCATCCCAAACGACTGCTTTCCGGACAGCACTTGGGGGCTTTGCGAGAAAAAGCAGACGTCGGAGGGAGCTGCTAGCATTGGGCCGTTTCGCGGGGTTCCTAGCATCCCAAGTCCATGTTGGTTCATTTTGCGAGCGCCACCCAGAAAATGGAACATGTGGACAGCGGCAACTCTGCCAAAGGTTTCCGAAAGTCCCAACACCTCAAGTGGGTTTGTGCAACTTCCGCCTTTTTCAAAGTGGGCGCTTCCTTTTCATGTGGAGTCCAGACACTTCACAAGGTTCAATTGAATGGCTCCTGGCTCGGCCAACAATTTTTAAGAATCCAACTCATAAAGAGGGGATACCTTAGGACAGAATGGATCGAGCCAGAACTCACGTCCGCTCAAGAACTCGTTTGACATGTATGGGGGGGCCGTCTTCAACATCTGTGTTTGTAAACAAATGTATTCATTTCCATTTGGAACCGCCAACCACAAACAAACGTGGTGGGGGGGGGGGGAATATGTACCCAACAACCAAACAGGGGAACAACAATTGGATGATGCAAGGACAGGCCACCCACCAATCGTGTGGAGCTGTCTCCAGTGTTCTTTTATCTCCCTTTACGACAACCCGGAAAGGGTGCCCTCCATAAATGTGCCACGGTACAAACTCCCAACATGCGGGTCATGGTCCCCTGAATCGAAGGTTTACATGGGAGGTCTGAGCATCCCATTCAGGGCGCCATGGACCATTCCTAGGCCCAAGTCAAGGTACACAAGACCTAAGGCACATTGCCTTAGACAATTGTTTCGGAAGGAAGCAATTGGAAAGCAAAGCACTCGCGTGTCCTTTCTTTCAACAAAATCGGATACCCTTGAAGAAAGCCTACGCATCCACCTCTGCTTGATGCTGGGGCTCAACAAGCAGCTATCCACCATGGGGCCCGTGGTCTGCTGCGACCCCCCCAGAGAACCCGCTTTAAGAGCAGTTATGTTTGGAGGTGTGGATGATGGAATCTCTTGTAACAGGAATATGTCTACACGATATGCATGTATGTATTATGTTCTGCCCCAATCCCCTCATACAAGTAATCCCCGCCAAACAACCCTCCAATCTATTCTTGGGATGCTGAAAGAAACCCATAGGCACTTTAAAACAATCCCACTCCAGAGTTTACGCGTTCGTGTCCTGCAGGTTCACACATTGGTGCTGTTGCTCCGTCGTCAAGGAAACCAACAGCTCCTTGGACTTCAGACAAATGGGCGTGTCGTTCAAAGACAGGCCTGCATAAATGTTTGGGGATTCGCTTTGGTTTGAACTAGGGTGAAAACGGTGCCGGCTCCAAAACCAGCCACACTTGGAAATGGGTGTTATTAGTGTTCCTGTCAATCTCGGAGTCTCGATGTCATAAAATTGGGGAGGGGGGAACCCATAATCCACGTTTGTAATCCGTAGTGGGACACCCCTGCAACATGGAAGCCACATCTGGGTGTCTGGTTTTTGAGGATCCCCTTTGTGTGTGGTTTAATAATTAGGGAAATTCAAAAGAAAGACCCCTCATCTTGGGGGACCCTTCATTTGCAGACGCACCAATCTGGCATCCTGTGGATCGAGTGTCAACGAAGGTGGAGCATGAGAAAGTATCCAACCAGCTTTGGTTTCTGAGCCAAGTAGCAACTTCCTTATGGTAATGGAAAACCGCTGCCCCTCATGTTTTGGGGCCGGGTTCTAGCCCCAAAAAACCACCCGCAGTGGCAGAGTTTGGAGGCTGGCGGAAAAACATGGCCCCTTCTAGCCCTTCTGACTTGAATCAAGAATTTCCAGTTGAACACAACAACTCAACAGACATGCCAACTCAGGCACAAGAAGATGTACCTCTGTTGGGTGATTTGAGCTGGAGTCAGAAGTGGCGTCCTGCTCTGCGCTGGCAATGCGTTTGTCTCCTTTACTCTGCTCAGATGGTCAGATGATCGCTATGCAAATGTGCGGATGGAACCTAAGGGGGGCAACCAAAAAGTTTGTAATCCTACTTAGGGTGCGAAGACCATCTAGCAAAACACCTAATGTACGTGGACACGGCTCCCTAGGAACCCTCACAATGGTCTAACATCCCAACTAAACTGGGCCCGCATCTGGAGTCCAAAATTACTATGTTCTGATTCCGTATCATATTTAGTCCACAATAGTCTTCGAGATCCTGGAACCCCAAGAATGTCCGTGTCAGGTCTGCTCGCACCAAACTGTGCCCCACCAACTGGATCTCTGCAAAACATAGTTGCAGATTACTCTCCCAAAGTAACACGGAACCCGAAAACCCAAATGTTGGGGGGAATCTCCTTGTGAACTCTTTGGGTTCCATGTGGCTGTGGCTCAAAAAAACGGTATCCAAATGGAACCCTGGCAAGTGGAAACATGGACCAAAACCTGCGTCACCCCAGTTTGATTTTGAGCCACATGTACTTGAAGGACCTGAAGCTTCGAGTTCTCGCCGAGGGGCTTGTGCCAAGTTAGTGGCTCCCACTGCGGCAAAGAGGTGCATCACGCCCCACTCCTCGCGCAGGGAACCATCAGTTGCCCAACCAACAGGTACAGTTCGCACTGGTTTGTGCCACGCTGAAAGCTCGCCATGAGTCCTCGCGTCGCGGAAGGTTGCTTAAGGCTGCGTTTCAGGATTGCGCAGACCCTACGCGCCTTCTGGCGACTGCTGATGCGTCTGGGCCCCATGAATCAGCCGTGATGGCGCTGTTGTCTTGGATGGGATTTCAACATCGCACACGTACGGCTGCGCCCCTGTCAAACTGAGCAGGTCACGGCTCCTTTGGCGGCAAAACAGAAACAAGGTGGCGGCTAAGCCCCTCTAGCATTCAGGAACTTTGCCGCCAGACACGAGACAGAGCTTAACGCACGTGCTTACGCACCCTGCTTTCCTCGAAAATGATTACCCCAGCGTACACCGCTCAGGGGTTTGCTCGTGGGGCCTTCCCGTGACACCACACTTGCTTGACACAGGCGGGTTGCTGGTTTGGAGATTTCCGCCTGGAACCGGCTGGCCACCAATGGGAACTCATGTGCCAACTGAATCGAAATTCATGCGCCAATCGACGAACACGCCCACCAGCACGAGTGAAGATATGTGTATGATAATTAGTGTTTTTGATTTACAAGCATTCCAACCTGAAATAAGAGTTGGATGCCAAAGAAAAACACCATAAAGGACCTGCAGAACCGTGACCTCGCTGTACCCCCAAATGAGTTCGCCATAAACTAGGCACATACATAGTTGCCTAGTCACCTATGGTAAATGCTAATTGAAGCCATGTCTTGTTGGCGTGTTTATTAGGCTATCCGCCAACAAACTCATACCAAAGAAGGGTGGAATCCAATGGATATCTGCTCAGTTTTCACAGGAACCAACTCCCCCCATAAGCCCATGGTGTCCTCAAAGACAAACCTTTACTGGCAGTGGACTGAACCCACATCCTCCCCCTCCATCAAACTACCGAGTAGCACTGAAGATCACCCCCCCCCCCAAAAAAAAACAAACAAACAGAGGCCCTCTTGCAGCAACTTTCACAGCAACTTTTAAGGGAAACCCAGGGGTGGGGGGGTTGTGCCTCCGCCCCGAAGCGCCAATCCATCCACTCCGGGCCGTGCTCGATAGCGGCTCGATCTGCAGGATTTGAGACATGGCTATGGGCGTGGGACCCCGGAAGCGGATTTCTGCGTTCATGTGGGCTTCCACCTGAAACCACTCTTCCCCCCCTGATCCCCCCCCCAAAAAAGAAGCAACACAAATAGTGGGTACTCCAAAAAAAGCTAAACTCCGTATCCAACCCAAGAAATGATGGGCTTCCTTTGGTTTGCCATACCGATCTTGTCAAGGGTAAGGTCACAACACGGCCGGCTGCTTCAGGGGCCCCAATTGGACGTGTAAGCCACTTGGTTGATTTCGATAGGGCCAGTTTCAGAAAGGGTCCGGATCACCTCAGGGGGGGGTGCGCCCCTTATCCGCCAAGTGGATACATCCGGAATCGGCAAATTCCAAGCGGGCCATACGCTTTGTTGCCCCAACAAATATTGACTCAGACTGCCAGACTTGCGATTGAAAAGAACGATCAGCAAAGGGTGGCTTTCCAGGTTGGCGTAACGAGCTGGCTGGTTTCGTCTCACCTCCGAAACAAAAAAATCCCCCCCAAGGCATGGAACGGACCAGTGCCAACCTGAATTTACTGGCAGAAGTGACCCTGTTGGGACATGCGACCGGTCATAAACCTTCAAGGGGGGCGTTTTGGGAGGCTATCACCTATCAACCCTTAACGGCCTAGGGGTAAATTTCCCCAGCCCCGAACTGCATTGAACGTTGCATAAGGTTTCTTGGAGGATGAGGCTGCATGGACGATAAGCTTACCCCGTGCTGACAAGGACTTCGCATAGCTGGGGTTTTCACCCTCTAGGTCTCCAATTCCAAACGCCTTAAGAGGATTGTTCGCAATCTGAACTCTGAAATGTTCGAAGGCTTTGTGATTGTTGGTTTTGAAGCGCTCAAGTGGAAGTCTTCGGAGAAGCTGTGTGCATCTGCTCCAGACCTGAACTATCCTTCTGCTTTCCCAGGGCTCCCTAGATGTCCCCGTCTTGGGATCTGAAGCATCACCGTCTTGTCCCAAAGTGAGTCGCCTTGAGGCGCTTGCGCCAAAGACTCCGGCAAAAGGCAAAAGGGTAGAAGGTTGGGCTAACAAAGGAAAACCCAAGGAACTACAGCAAGGTTCTGTTCGCGAAAGGGAAGTCTTTCTTGCTTTTTGTACATGAGCCATGGTCTCAACATGTCTCAAAATATGTTCGGTTTCCATGATGGACATTTGACAATTGGGGTTCGGCCTCTGGCTTGCAAATTGACCATAAACGAGACAGGACATTTGGAAAATGAACAGTCCATTTTGGAATTTT